TGCTGTTCCTGTGAGCTGTGAGGGTCAGTGATGCTGTTCCTGTGAGCTGTGCAGGCAGTGCTGCTGTTCCTGTGAGCTGTGCAGGCAGGCAGTGCTGCTGTTCCTGTGAGCTGTGCAGGCAGTGCTGCCCCTCCCTGGCCCATTCCCACCTTTCCTTACCCTCAGGAAGTTCTGCAGCGCGTCCTGCACCGTGGCTGTCGGGGGAGCCTCGAACAGCGCCGACACCGTCCTCTTCTCCAGCCAGCCCAGGTGGGCAACCTGCACACACAAAGGACAACCTGGCCTGTCCATCCAACACCAGCACAGGAACAAGGGTCTGCCCAGTCCCTGGGAGCTGCTCCTGCAGCAGGGAGGAAGCCAAACCCCTCGGCAGTGTGGGAATATTCCCGTGGAGTATCCGAGTCCGGCACAGAATTTAACCGGATTTGCTTTCCCTTGTCCCGGGTCAGTTTTTGCAGTTCCACACATCTGGGACATGGATGGCCCCAAATCCCAGCCTGCCACACTGCAGCCACACCAGTCCCCACCTGTGCTCTCCCTTCTCCCAGCCTAAACCTTCCACAGGAACCTGCTCCCCTCCACCCTGTGACTCCCTGGGAGAGGCAGGCTGAAGCCCTCCCACCAGATATTCATGGGATCATTTAGGTTGGAAAAACCCTCCCAGCCCATGGAGGCCAACCTGTGACAATCCCCACCTTGTCACCCAGCCCAGAGCACTGAGTGCCACCTCCAGGCATTCCCAGAACACCTGCAGGGATGGGGACTCCACCAGCTCCCTCTGACAATACCCTGTTTAATCCTGCATGATTCCAACTATGCAGACTACATGAAGCACTACCATACTTCTCCACCTGTGGTTTTATTCCACAGCTTCAGCAGCTCCAGGCTGAGCAAGAAGGAAGGATCTGTTTCCAGGAAAAGAGCCAGGAGCTCCCAGCAGTTCAGCTCAGGGCTGCTCTGTAATTCCCACTGTCAATTATCCCAGCTACAATCCCTGCACTGTGGCTCCATTCCCAACAAAGTGCTTTCCAATGGCACAAATGGAACAGCAATGGTCACTGCAGGCTTTTATTCCCTTTTTTAGGCTCTAAATCTGATTGAGAGCTTGGCATTTGACTCCAAGCTTTTCCCTGTCAGGAAGCATAAAGCAGTTGGCACATGCTGCCAGTGCCTCCAGTTCTGTGTGTGGCAGGGGCAGGGGGACACATGGAACACCTCACACACCAACGCTGTGAGCAGAAGCTCCTCAGATGGCCTTGACCACGTCCCTGTGTGCTCAGAGGATGGAAGGAAGGTTGTTCTTACTGAGCAAAGCACTGGGAACAGGAAAGGAGTTTGCAGCCCAGGCTTTTCCTAACCCACCCTTTGCCATTTCCCCTCCCATGCCAGCAGCAGTGACTAAAAACCCAAGTTGGAGCTCTGAACCCTTCAGAGGCTGCCCAGGGGGTGAGAATAAATTCTCTTACGTGGTAACACCACCTGCCCAGCAGATAGTAGAGTTGTGGGTCCTGTGGCTTCAGGGCAATGGCTTTGTCAATGTGTTCCTGTGGGAAAACAGCACCAGCACGTGTCACATCTTTGTCAAAAGCAAGTGAAATACCCACCAGAGCAAGTGGAGAAAGAGGAAGGGAAGGAATCCACAATTTAAGTGTCACAAACAGTAAAATTAGACTGGATTCAGTGAACAAGGAAAAGCAGCATTTCTCCAGCCTCAGGGACAGGAATTTCTGCACACACACACACACACACAAAGATGCTGCCCTGCATTTTATTCCTGCTCCAGAGCTTTGCCATAACCTCACTGATCATGCCAAAGGCTGATGGGGAACAATAACCTGTGGCCTGTTCCATGTCCATCCTTTTTCCCTGGAACATCCACAGGGCATCATACACCATTCCTAGTAATAATACTAGGAATAAAAAAAGGGGATCTGAGGCAAATGAAATCC